GTACACTGATATTTGTATACTTACTACATAAAGTATACTTAAAAATATACTTGAACTATACTTAAGTATACTTACTAAAATAAACTTGAGGTATACTACTTTTTGGTAAGGGTTGTCCTCCCATACAGCAAAAGAGTTTCTTTTTTCTTGTCTTCATCACCTGGCTACTGTTGTAAAATGTTGAGAGATTCAAACAAAAAGTAATAAAAAATAGAACAAAATAAAAAATAAAGCCTGCAAGTGACGTCGCTAGCGGAAGCGCAAGTGTCTGAGAGTGTGAGTGCGAGGCTGCAGCCAGACCCTTCTCGGTGTGACCGCTATTGCACAGCGCGCGCTCCCGTCCTCCGTCATTCATTTAACCCGGACGTGAAGCCGCTCCGTAGGAAAATATCAGATGCGGTAAAACAGCTTACCTTTAGAAAAGGTAAGTGTATAAACGTGAACACACCACAACACTCCAGCATAAGTCATATATTTCGGTTTTAGCTTTCAATTAGCTTCGTAGGAGTGAAAACAGCGCGTTTAGAGGATCTGTGTCGATTATATTTTAGCTTGTTTCAGGCTGTTGTGGTGCTAACTAGCTTAGCCTCTTGTTGCGCTTGCCAGCCTTTTTACTTTATGACTCTTATATAACTGCTATGTAACGTGATTTTAGTAAAGCATTTCTGTGTCTTGATAGTGGAACATTTTAATCTACGAATTACTGAGGGTTTGTAGTTAAATTAGTGATGTTTATGACCGCTGTCATGTTATAAATGAGCAGACTTGCTCTTCCACCTGCTTCAGAGTGTTGTTTACTTACTTTTTTTGCACTAACGTTAAATGTGTTTTGTACGGACATATGTGATGTTAAACGCCCGGTATGCTTTTGAAAGGTGTGTTTTTAGGGTAAGGTGCCCTGTCACATTCACTGCAGTACTCGAGTATTGTTGTAAATGCTTGTAAGTTGTTTTTGGGCAGAGGCCTGGGTATCAGTGACACAGGACTTGCGAAATACTGATCCCACATTGACTGTGAATGGAAGGATCGTACTGCGCATGCGCCATTTACACCTCCAGCATCCTGCCAGATAGCGGGCCGTCGTTATGCGCATGCGCAGTGCGGCGCTGCAGGGGCGCTCTTTGCCAGAAAATGAGCCGCGTTCATGATCGTGTTCACGCAGACGTTTTGAATGGGTTGCTGCACTGCAGAAATTAGGCACAGCTGACAAGTTTGGCTGCCTGGGGCTCGTGTGAAGCGGAACGGTGGCTGTGCCACTCATGGATTGGTTGTGGGGGTGGTTTCAGATCAGCTCTGGGTCCCCAGCTGGTAATTTATTCAGGAAAAATTTGATATTATGTTAAGTTTGTAGGAACACACTTCACTTTAACACATCAGAGCTGGAAAAACCCCTAGTGTTTTACACACACCTGTGACACAACTAATATGACTAAGAAATCTGCTCGGTACCACCAAAAACACCTGCTCTGTCACTTTGGGAGTGTAAATGTCCAGCACAGGTGGTGGTTGTCATTTTTGGAGTTTAATAGCTTTTAGTGCATGGCCATGTATGTTTACATTAAATATAAATATTGTGTTAAAGACACACTTCTGTTAAAAAGTTTAGGGTCAAGAAATGTAAACTTTTTTTCCAGCAAGGATGCATTAAATTAAGTCACTGTAAAGAAATGTGTGTGTGTGTGTGTGTGTGTATATATATATATATATATATATATATATATATATATATGTATG